CAACAGAAGAAAACAGGGAGTCAGGCCTCCCTGACACCCTCCCTTTACCACCATTTCATTGTAAACAGAAAATGGCATTCCTCAAACTCAGCAATTTGCCTGTTCACCACTTCCATTATCTTTCTTTCTTTTGTCTGTTTTTTTTTTGTGCTGATTGGCATGAGCTGGATGGGACTCTGTATGTAAGCAGTTTGTTGGTTCATGGGTGCACAAACATAGGCGCATGTTTGCGTAGAACTTAGAAACAGGTCCAAAGTTAGAAAAAAGGCATCAACTTGGATAAAATAACTTCTAAATCAATCAGGAAGTTTCCTGATATCATTAAGTCTTACTTCTAATGACTAAGAAATTCTGAATTCTGGCAATTAATTGTTTCAACCCTAAAGACAATAACTGCTTTCACACTCACCGACACCCCCCTCTACCTATTGTAGTACTTTTACTGTTTCACCTTTTTCATCCAAATGCAGCATTCAGTCTTCTTGGCTTGATTAATTCAGAGTATCTGATTAATCTTTAATCAAGTTCAGCTCCCCTACTAGGATATTCTTGAAATGTGCATCCTTCACAATCCACTGTAAGCAGATAGGTTACCGTGGACAAAGCTGATCTCCTTATACAAAGGTAACAGTTTGAAATGAAAAAAAAGTCCAAACTAAGTATGGCACAAAATCTGCGTCTGTCCTGCAGAGGATAAGGTCAAATATATATTCTCGTAATCTGATAGATTTTCAGTCTAGAGTCTATACTGGTTAGATATTGCAGAGTGAAAGTAGTCGCCAATTGGGCTTTTCCCAAGGGGTCAGTTATTCTAAAGAATTATTCAGAATTTTCTAGCTGCAAATATGTTACAAAAACCTGTTTGGAATATTTGAATGACTGAACTTCTTTTGCCCCAAATGGAAAAAGATACCATTTCTCCAAAACCTTTTTTGTGTAATGGCAAATTGGGCAGCATCGAGTACATCGATGCTGGGAAAAGTTTTATGATGTGTAAAGACTTTTTGAAGGCAATTGCTACATGTTGAATTCCTCCTGGCCTAGACGTTATTGCCTCATTTTTTTCTTCTTTTTTTTTCCTTAATCAGAGAAATATATTGCCAAGAAGAGCTGTTTTCTAGCTCCGTCATGGAGCAACTAGGATCTGGCAACACCCAAGCTCTCGCTCACTTGGCTTAAACCTACTATTAATATTGGTGCAGAATTCTTCTATTGTGTCAAAAATGAGGGGTGTACAAAAAAAATGCTTTTGTCAAATATCATGATATTTTATTTAAAAGTATTTGTATTGATACAAAATACCAAAATCGCAATATTTCATTGGACGATATTGGCATTGGTCTAAAATAGAGCCAAAAGGGTCGTTAATGTAAAAACTATCTAGAATTAAAACTTTTATTTAAATTTATAGAGCCTATTAGTCATCTGCTCTGCACCATCCAGACCAGAGCAGCATTAAGATCTAATGATCTCAACATATCTTCTTTGTTATTGCATTTGGATATATTCAGATAAATATTGTATTTGGACACGTATTGTAATACATATCGTATCACCACATTAAAAACAGATATACTCCAATTAAATGTTGAGTTTTTTTCTGTATCTCAGTGTGAGAATATGGTAGCCTCGTGAGACCATCCTGATCTCGTGAGCTTTCAAGGTTTCACTCGCAGATCAGTCTGGCTATAGCCTGACGTAGTCCTACTCAATTCTAGTCAGAATATGAGTCTGATACTGCTCCATAGAGCTGTTATTATGGGGCGTGTTTTGAACGAACCAGGGAAAAAAATGCCTCTGCACTCAATTGGATAGACCTACAACCAATAAGAGCAACGGAGTGCGTGACGTATGTTAAGCGACGCATAGTTCT